CGGTTTTTGCATCACATAATGACAAGTTTATTGTCTTTTCAGATCCCGTTGAAGCATCCTGATTAACTAAAGATAGGTCTTGATCCTGAGAAGCGGAAGCTTCATTACTATATAATAGCTTTTTTCCCATATTCCTCTGCTTTATCTCATTACTGACCCTTTTCTTATTTTCCGAATCTAAAAAGACACCAATTTCTTTATCTTCTAATGATTTAGATTTTCCGGAGCAAGTTTCATTAAGGTTAGATGTATCGAAAATTGTGTTTACTACCTATTCTGAAGTTACTAAGTCTGTGCTAGTCATGGATTGATCTGCTTCGTGGCGAGTTGAAGAATCTTTAATCTGCGCATTTTCACCATTTGAACAACTCTTGTTAGGTAATGGAGTGGAATATTCCGGAGATTTCTGCGAAAGCAGGCCTTGTGGGGCTAATCATTAGTAACTGTACGATTTTGCTTTTCAATATTCTTAACAGCTCGTTTTAATTTTGCAATTTCATTCTTGAGCTCGACATTTTCTGTTTGACTTAACTTTGTAGTCTGTTCCAATTATGTGATTCTAGCCATAAGTCTGGCATTCTCTTGTTTCAATAAATCTAGTTCGGATTTGGTGTCTTCCATTGCTTTATATAAGATGCGGATATGTTCAAAAGTTTGTTTTTATAAAACCGTAACTTCATGTCAATATATGACTGCTCAATCATGTTTTTCATCATCCAAATCACCAGAAAATTATGCGATTCGTTATAGCAGATTATAAAAAAGCAAACGATTTCGCATAAATTTCACTAACTTCTTCATAATTGGCAATTCTTTAGTCAAATAACAGTTCCTTCCGCATCTAACGCAATTTTACTGGATATTTCATTAAGAGGTTTCGCCATTGTTCCTGTTTATTTTTATAATTACACACTGTTATTTAGACCACTTGTAAACGTTGAGTGGGGAAAATGCTTTTGCACACGTTGTACATGTACATTCTTCCACCGCAATTTCGTGATCAGGTTGAGAGCCTGCTCCTCGAGCCAGACGAACATAGTTATCACTTAGGTTATTGCCTATAAGTATTACTACGGATCAAATATCATAAATATCATGTGTCATAAAATGTCACTATCAGACTTGTCGATCACTTCACACGAATTTTTTGAATGTTATCGCCTAAATGAATCTCCACCCTGATTGTCTCGCTGCTCTAAAATACCCTAGTAAGGAAACTGTTTATACACTTTTTTTATGCTAATGTTTTATTAGATTAACGTCGTTTTTTGAATGTAGCTTTTTGGGAGGATACCAACAACCCTTCACTCAGAAAGTTTTTGGACTTTCGGCGCCTGGAAGGTGATTTGGCTGATTCAGATACTGAGCACTATCGTTACCAATGTGAACTAGATGCTTTCAGAAAGTATTACACTGAAGAATCTGAAGTTGACCAGATAGTTTTGAAGTTGAAAAAGTGGGTTGAGGTATTTGTATTTAAAGATCCATTTTTCTTTTCGTGGAAAGCACAACTACTTTGCAGGTGGTATGCTTGCACGGACTACTTTGTGGGTGGTATGCTTGCAAAGGAAAGGTGGAATGCTCTGTCCGTAGTAGTTTTTGGGTGGAAGGCTCATATGGACAACTTGTGGGTGGGATGCTCACAAGAAAAAGCGTGGAATGCTCATCCATAGTTGGTTCTGCGATCATTTGACAGATCTGTGGTTATTTAATGATTTGTATATAAAGCAAAGAAGTCGTCGATTTTCTCATATAATAACTTTTTTAAGGTGGATAAAAAGTCGAGATCAATAAGACTCTTTTGGAATTTACGAGACATTGTACTGAATCAGGGTTAGTTGATGAGAAATCCAAATTGCAATGGGTAAGTTGTCTTCACAAAAATCATCTATAGAGTATGCTTTTGTTAAACTTAATTTTGATTTTAGAAAGAAGGGATGTTTGAATTTGAAAGAACAGGTTTTTGCCATCTTCGAGAGACTTCATCTTCTGTGCAAGAAAAACAAATCTCAAGCTATACATTCTACAAGGGGTCTGAGATACAAACAAATGACGTGAGTCTAGTCAAGAGTAAGACCCATTGACTTTTAAAGTTAGTTATAATGAACTTATTATTTTCTTTATGACTAGGTGTATAGCAAGGCT